TGGGGGGTGTGGGGTGGGGGAGTGTCTAGGAGGAGTTGAGCTCATACTTATGTGTGGGGGGTGTGGGGTGCGAGGTGTGGTAGGGGTGAGGGTGATGGTTGGAACATCTAATGACACATTATCTGACACACCTGTTCTTGACGACACATGTCCTGACACACCTGCTGTTGACGACACATAATTTCCTGACACACCTACAGGGTCCAGATCAACACACGTTCCAAACGACACACGTGTCTGTGTCAGTACTGGTTTCAGTGTCTGTGTCGGTAACGGCATCGGTGTCGTTTCGTAAGAAGCCCCGTCACTTTTGGGTCTGTCGTTAAGAACAAAGCTGGCTAAATCTCCAAACACACCACCATCATCATCATCATCGCCGAATCCCTCACTCAAGCCTGGCTCCGACTTTGAACAATTTCTCTCGGAAAACACAAACCTCATATTATTACTAGTATTATTGTTACCGTTGTTGTTGTTGTTGTTGTTGTTGTTGTTGTTGTTGTTGTTGTTGTTGTTGTTGTTAGCGGTGGAAGAGGCCGGCCACAAAGTTGTGTCTTTTGCCGGGGCTTCGGGTTCCATTCTCGCCTTATTGTTGTGGCTGTTGTTGTTGCTATTATCATCATCATCATCATTATCATCATCATCATCATCATCATCATTATCATCATCATCATTATCATCATTATCGCCATCATCTGTTGTCTCGCGTACAAAATCTGGGAAGAGAAGAGAGTCAATCTGAGCGTCCAGTTGCGAGGACGTGAGAGTTCTGATGTTGCTGTTGTTGCTGTTGCTGTTGCTGCTGTTGTTGCTGTTGTTGCTGTTTTCGTTGTTTCCTGAACGTTTGGCCGAACCTTTAAGACCTTTATGAGTGGTGTCCAGATTTTTCTTTCCTTTCGGTGACGAATGGGATGACGTCACAGTTTTATTAATTACCCGACCCGTTGAAAAGGCATCCTGATTTTTCTTTCCTGTGGGTGGGGCTGGTGGGGCTGATGACGACGCGTTGTTTTGGTCTGCCGTAGTTTCCCAGATTGGCTGGCGATCCACAAGAGAGTCGTAAGAGTCAATGTCCACATGTCCTCTCATTCCCAGATTTTTCACGAGAGTTTCGTAAGAGCCCGTAAGCCCGGAGTTGTACTGGTCAGGTGTGTTGTTTTGTCCTGTGGTTAGTGTGTTGTTGAACCGGTCAGATGGGTTGTTCTGTGCTGTGCTCAGTGTGTTATGTCGGTCAGATGTGTTGTTTTGCCCTGTGTTCAGTGTGTTGTTGCACCGATCAGATGTGTTGTTTTGCCCTGTGGTCAGTGTGTTGACCACCCCACATTTCCCACTGCTACTGTCAGTTGTACCAGACGTGGTAGACTGCGTCTGATGTGAGTGGGGGGACTTTTTAGAGGGGGCTTTATCCCTCCCGACCACCGCTACTGCTGCTGCTTCTTTTCTCTCGTTCTCTTTCTTCTTCTTCTCCGCCGCCGGCTTCGTCTTCTTCGCTCTCTCTTTCTCCGGGGGTTTGAGTTTACTGCGGTGGAAGAGGCCGGCCACAAAGTTATGTCTTTTGCCGGGGGCCCGGGTTCCATTCTCGCGTTGTTGGTGTCGTTGTTGTTGTGGTTGTTGTTGTTGTTGTGGTGGTGGTGGTGGAGATGGTTGTAGTTGCTTTTGTTGTTTTTGCTGTTGTTGCTGTTTTTGTTGTTGTTGTTGATGTTGTTGTTGTTGATGTTGTTGTTGTGGTGGTGGCGGTTGGTGAGAGGCGGGGCCTAGGTCGGTTGTCTCTCGCTGTGAGTGGGCCGTCTGTTCTGAGAGCAGGGGAACCTGTGGGTAGAGGGGGTGGGGGGTGGGGGGAGAAGGGAGAGAGAACGTTTAGTTGTAGTCAAATAGTTTTACGGTATATGCAATACAAATGGGGGACATTCAGGTGAAGTCGTTAATATAATTAGGTCAAACAAACGAACATTTTTTTTTCGCCCATAGGGCAATTTTCATAAAATTTTCTTTTGGACTCAACACCTGTACAGTTATATCTATATCCACACACAAAAAATGAAATAAAAAACATAAAAAATTGCCGCAGGTTGGAGGATGATACTGGTAGGTCCTACTTCTTTGACTTTCTCTCTGTCGTTTCTGACAGTGTGGGTGGTTGGAGGGTGTCACTGGTAGATCCTACTTCTTTACTTTCCCTCTGTCGTTTCTGTCTGTCTGTGTGGGTGGTTGGAGGGTGTCACTGGTAGGTCCTATTTCTTTGACTTTCTCTCTGTTGTTTCTGTCTGTCTGTCTGTATGGGTGGTTGGAGGGTGTCACTGGTAGGTCCTACTTCTTTACTTTCCCTCTGTTGTTTCTGTCTGTCTGTCTGACTTTCGTTCCTCAGCAATGTACTGGAAGTATTTTCTATTCATTTCTGTGTTGATTTTCATGAAAGAAAGTGTCACGACATGGTGGAATCAGGCGCTCGTCAAGTTTCGGGCATATGGAGTCATTGGTATCATCATAAAGCCTGTTCGTTTGTCTGGCTTTTGGTGAGAGAACAAATCAGTCTATGTTGAATAGAAGTCCTGATATTTGCAATTTGAAACAGGTGAGGGTCGCCTGGTTTCAGAGGTAACATTTACGAAAAAATGATCGCCAAAGTTTGGTAATTTCCATAGCTAGAGAGTAATTGGAAACTGAAAATTTACAGCTTTTGTGCCTTATGTCAATGTCTTTCAGTCAGTAAGACCCACACAGAAAATAAGTTTTTAAATGGTCGCTTTTAAGGACAAGCGGGCTAACCCAGATTTTGGGGGATTCCAGAAATCTTGACCTACTCCAAAAGTGAGCATTGCCCTACCTATAGGGGAAGTTTGGTTTCATTGGTGTGTATATTTGTTTGGTTATAGAAAAACTTTCCATGTCTTTTTAACGAAACTGAAAAATAGGAAGAAAACTTTACCTTTGATTTTCTCAAAACAGTATTGTTCAATATAGCCCCCTTGCACTTTAAAGCGACCAAACAAACATAAACAAAGGAAAATTAAGGGAAAGAATGTCCAACTGCCCGAAACACGCCAGTTTCTTTGATTGTATCATTTTGACGAGCACCTGATTTCACAACGATGCCTCTCAAAATGTCTGACAAAATGTCATGTGTATATAATATGTGAAGCCTGATGACAAAATGAGTTACTCTTCAGCTTCAAGCGTTATGGAAATAAGTACATCACGCTTATAGGAGAAGTTTTGACAATTCATAAGTATGAAATAATAAAAAGACATGTTATAGTTAAAGAATATGGCATCAATAGAAAATCTACAAATTTGACCATAATGTTGAATCTTGGCCAATATCTCCATTTGTGGATTGCGAGAAGTAACTCTTTCTGTCAGTACCTCACACACACACACACACACACACA